ATGTAGTAAAGAGGCGCCAGTCCAAAAAAAAAATGGCTAATCACGTAAGACCCCACTGGTTGATCACTATAAGGCACTTTTGCCCTCCCTGTGGAAGGGGTCGGCCCCCGATGGTGTATTGCATCACTTCGTTTGCTACAACATCGAACTTCGGCCGTTGCAACCGTTGGGAATGCCGGCAATGGTAGCTGCGGATTTGTGAGTATCCAACCTTCAGGTTGCCCATTTGACCTTCAGGTTGCCCATTTGGTGCGAAGCACTCTCCGTGGCAATTTTTTCAAATTTTCGAAAATGCAAGTTTCAGCACTTTTCAAGGTTTTTGGAGTTATTGTTTGCAGGCGTCGCTGGGTTGTTGTTCAGCTCTCTGCAGTGGTCTTAGCAGGAATTTACCCACACGGAATATCTGAAAGCTGCATATTTTCAGAAATTTGAATTTTTGTTTTTGAAAACCATGAAAATTTTTTCTTTCGTTGAAAACTTTTTTGTTTGCTTCCATTTTACCTGGCAAGATAGCATGTAGGAATCCAAAATGATTTGTTTTTAAACCAACCATTCCACAGAATGCATTCTAGATTTTTTGGACGCCGCGTTTCTTACAATGTTGTTTGAAAATTTTCAAAATTTAAAATTTTGATCCAAACCAAGCCGGTTGGCTTAGTTGCAAAAAGTTAGTAAGGCTCATTTTGTTTTCAGATCATTTCGTTAACAATGTTTCTCAAACAAGGAAAAGTTGAAAAACAAACATCAATTGATGTTTTAAATTGTGCTCAAGCGATTTTGTTTCTGAACCAAAAATCAGTATTCACACTGCAGACTTTGAAATGCTTAAAAATCAGTGTTTCCTGTTTTAAATGTTTTTTTCATTTTTGGAAATTTTAAAAACAATCTGCTTTGACCCAAGGCAACTTTGAAACCAGTTTTTTTCTGGTTTTAAATGTTTTTCATGTTGATAATTTGCTTAACAGGGCATCTTCAATTTGCTCAAGTTTGGCCTTGCATGTGTCAAGCCAGACAGCTGAAAAACACAGCCAAAGTTTTTTTGAGGCATGTTTCTTTGCTGGTAGCTTTGTTCAGCCTTTGCAGGTGCAAACAGGAAAAATGCACGTCAAGTCAAGCAGCAGAAAAAAAAATGGCTGAGTTTGAAGTCTTGGCTTTGACAAGATGGGCTGCGACGACCCAATTGCAGACCGCGACGGCGACGCGTGGGTGGTGGTGGCCGTGGACATGAGTCATGACTCAATGACTTATGACTCATGACTATGACATGACTTATGACTCATAACTTATGACTCCCATGTCTTTGCACTTTCGTTTGATGTTGGTTTGATGGTAGGTGCGCCGTCTCATCCCTCTTTGAATCTCATTGCTCTAGCTTACTGGGGCGCTGTTGCGTCGAAGAAGCAGTGGAGGAAAAAAAATGACTTATGACTTCCACAAAATACATTCTGTTTTTTTTGAACGCCGCGTTTTTTCTAATGTTTTTTAAGATTTTCAATATGTTAAATTTTGATCCAAAGCAAGCCGGTTGGCTCAGTTTCAAAAAGTTAGTATGGATCATCTTGTTCATTTCGTTGACAATGTTTCTCAAACAAGGAAAAATTGAACAAAAAATAATTAACGTTTTTTTTTGATTTTGTTTTTCAGGCAAGTTTGTTCAGAGCGATTTTGTTTCTAAACAAGGCATTCCAAAATTATTATTCATATTGCAGACTTTGAAATGCTTCGAAACCAGTTTTTTTCTGTGTTTTAAACGTTTTTTCATGTTTGAAATTTTAAAAACAATTTGCTTTAAAAAACGTAGCAAAAAAGCATCTCCAATTTGCATCTCAAGTATGGTGTGGCCTGCATGTGTCAAGCCAGGACAGCTGAAAAACACAGACCAAGTTCTTTGAAGTCCTGTTTCATTGCTGGTGGTTTTGTTTCAGCCTTTTCTGCAAACAGGAAAAAATGCACGTCAAGCCAAACAGCAGAAAAGAAAGATGGGCTGAGTTCGAAGTCTTGGCTGGATTCGACGCGAACAAAGCTGAAAGGAAACCAAGGCAGTTTTTCATTGTTCATGACCCGTGTTTGTGGCCGATGGGTTGCGGCGGCCGCAATGACTCACGTGACTGCCGTGACTGTGGCTGTGACTGTGACTGATTCATGGTTCCTGATTCATGATGATCTCATGACTCATGACTCATGACTCGTGGCTCATCATGATCTCATGTCATGAGTCATGACTGAATGAATGATTGATGACTGATGATTGATGATTCATACTTCACAATGCATAATGATTCATGATGCGATGCGATGATGCGATTATGATTGATGCCAATGCCAGGCAATGCGGCGGCAATGCCAGGCCAGGACCGCCAGCACCAGGACCGCCGGGAAGCCGGACTGCCAAGATGCCAGGGCTCAGGACTCAGGACCTGGCAGGATGATGATGACGACGATGATTGATGATGATGATGATGATGATGATGATGATGATGATGATGATGATGATACAATGACACGATGTGATGATATATGATATGCTATGATCTGATATGATGATGATGATGATGATGATGATGATGATGATGATGATGGTATGATGATGATGATGATGCTGCTGAGGGTCTTCTGCTGAGGATCTGCTGACGCTGCTGGGCAATATGAGACTCTTGATGAGACTGCCGACAGGTTTGTTAATCTGGCCCTATGGCCCTAGAACACCATGCCGCGCCCGAAATTTCGGCCATACTTAGCTCCGTCGTAGGTAATGGGGCCATGTAATCCATGTGGCCCCCTGATTTGATGCCAAGCAGAGAGTGCTTCGCACCCCCATTTTGCCGTCAGGCAAAAAACCCAAGTGTTCTGAAGATTGCGTGATGGTGGTTTTGTTCTCTGGCACACTATCGCATTTTGCGATTTCCCCAAACGACTTGGTGCTGCTATAGCTCTGCTCTGGGACTACATCGATGAGCTTGGATACTGAGCGCGTGGGGTTTTTCTGTAGTTTCGTCGCCTTCTTCTGTTTCGTTGGTTGTTTGTTGCGGGCTGCTTTGGTTGGTTGGGTGGTTTCCTCGTTCTCGGTTGTGTTGCTTTGAACTGGCGATCTGTGTCACACCTAGTTGAAAGACCCACAAGAACGGCCTCCTGTGCTGCTGATGTAGTAAAGAGGCGCCCGCTTTAAAATACAAAAAACAGCACAGGAGGCAGCCAGAATTTCACTTTCACGTTTCTCATTACAGGAGATCCGTCTTGTGCTGCAAAACTAGCGGTGATTTTTGTTTTGGTTGCTTGCGCTGTCAGGGGGCGGCTCGTCTCGCCCCATGGCCGAAGTCTGGAGTGAAACTGGCAAGATGGCCCGGTGGAGCTTGCCAGGCAAGGCCGGCAAACTGGCAAGATGTTGCCAGGCACTGGGGCAAACGGCGGCACTCTCGGCGGGCCTCTTTGCCAGATTGCCGGTCTTGCCGGAACAACTGGCAAACTCTCGCTAAGCCTCTTTGCCAAATTGCCGGGCTTGGGGGCGAGGCTGGCAAACTCTTGGCGGGGCTCGACAACCAACATTGGTCGTTTTAACATAAACTTGCACTGAACAGAAGCTGCTCTTAGGCAGTGTTCCCTATGCTTTTCGATGTTGCTGTAGGTGATGAAGTGTAGAACGTGCAAAGTACACGGTGTTTTTGATGGTTCGCACGGGTTGCCACATCGAATCAGACTTCCCAAAAATGACTTTCTGTACATGCTCAACATGTCATTTCATGTGGGGGTTTGCGGACATACACAGCAGATCCGATTTGGGTCATGGGTCTTTGAAAGCTGTTATTTTGCATGTCAGTGACTTTGCTGTGCTGCCGTGTTTCCTTCCAGGTCCTCGGCTGCTCCCGATTAGCATGCATGTTGCTCGTAACGCGAAGGAAGCACGATGTCCGAGACTTTGTGGGACTTTAGGACTTTTGGATATGTGGCTGCTGGGAGGATCTTGAGGTAGTGGGCTCGTGTTCTGTCAAGCGTGGTTTCAGATCTTGAGCCTTAGCCAAAAACCCCAAGCCCGAAACTCCATTGACGCGGCCTTGCAGTGGCGCATGGTGCGCAGTTGCCATTGGTTCCTGTGGGGTCTTGCAAGGGCATGGAATCTCGCCTGGTGTCAGTGCTGCGAAGCATCTGCATCTGCTAAAGTGTAGATTTTGAGCTTTGGTTTGCATGATGCGTTCTAAGTTTCAGGGAGATTTGGGAGTCGACGGTTCAGGTGTACTTACGAGCAAGGTCTGGAGCGCCCTAAATGCAGCTATTTTGCAAATGGGGGTTTACGAAAATGGGGGACCCCTAATATACACCCCCAAATAGTTCTTACAATGGACCCCAACAAGGTACCCCTAATTTCGGAGACCTTCAACATTCTAACTAAAGCAGCCGTGCTCAAACCTGAACTCAGAAGTATCGTCTCCTTTGGGGCCTCCGGTGGGGCTCTTATTTTTGCCGGCCTCGCCACGATTGTTGTACGGGCGCGCGCTTGAGCTAGAATGTAAAGTTTAGGGTTCCAATCCCTATCGCCTGTTGGGGGTTGTTCAATATCTGACCAGGGTTCTTTGAGTTTGGGCAAGGCTCCTTGAAAACGCACAAACAGGAACATCTCCCAAAGGTAGGTGATATGATTTAAAGCAACACCAACCCTAAACCCAAAACCCCTAAACCTCAAACTTGGGATGTTCTCCCTTGTACTAACAGCCCTTAATGCGGATTAAAGCCCCCTATTAGAATCCCTCTTGCGGATTGTTAGTATAAGGGGAGAATCCCAACCCTAACCCCATCGAGACCCTAAACCCGAAACAACCCTAGCTTAAACCCTAAACCCTGAACCCTAAACCCTAAACCCTAAACCCTAAACCCTAAACCCCAAACCCTAGCCCCTAAACCCTAAACCCTCAACCTTAAACCCTAAACCCTAAACCCTAAGCCCTCAACCCTAAATGCCAAGGGATTGGAGAGCTCCGCGCATGAGCGAGTCCTGGAAAGACACGCCCATGGTGGCGGAGATAAAGTGGGTTCCACGCCATGCGCTAATGCTTTAGGGTTTAGGGTTTAGGGTTTATAGGGTTTATAGGGTTTATAGGGTTTTTAGGGTTTAGGGTTTAGGGTTTATAGGGTTTTTAGGGTTTATAGGGTTTATAGGGTTTAGGGTTTATAGGGTTTAGGGTTTAGGGTTTAGGGTTTTATAGGGTTTATAGGGTTTAGGGTTTATAGGGTTCAGGGTTTAGGGGCATTGAAGCTTTCAACTGGCGCCCGAGACCTTACAATGTTTTGGCTTTTGCGGGGGGCACAATCCGAGGAGCTGTACGGTCGAGAGCAACGGTTTTTGACAGGGAGCCTGGTCACCAGCACTTGCAGCTTCAGAGATGCTAAATAAGTAGGGTTTAGGGTTTAGGGTTTAGGGTTTAGGGTTTAGGGTTTAGGGTTTAGGGTTTAGGGTTTAGGGTTTAGGGTTTAGGGTTTAGGGTCTTTAAAGTCTGCCCAAGCCCGTCTTCGATGAAGCTTTCGTTATTTTGCATTGCTTGTGTGCACCAAAGGAGGTTGCCTGAGGATGCGTTCAAGCAATGGAACGTGGCTAGCCCACAGGAGGGGGTTTTTACGAAAACAGGGTTTAGGGAACCCTAAACCCTCCTGAACCCTAAACCCTAAACCCTAAACCCTAAACCCTAAACCCTAAACCCTAAACCCTAAACCCTAAACCCTAAACCCTAAACCCTAAACCCTAAACCCTAAACCCTAAACCCTAAACCCTAAACCCTAAACCCTAAACCCTAAACCCTAAACCCTAAACCCTAAACCCTAGAACCCTAAGCCCTAAACCCTAAACCCTAAACCCTAAACCGTAAACCCTAAACCCTAAACCCTAAACCCTAAACCCTAGAACCCTAAACCCTAAACCCTAAGCCCTACCCTAAACCCTAATTGCCCACAGGATGTGTTGTTGCAGAACGTGGGCGAGGTGGCAATGTGGCTTTATGCCTCGTGGCAGTGGTCAGAAAAGTTGTTGCTGGATCCTTAAACCCTAACCCTAAACCCTAAACCCTAAATCCTAAACCCTAAACCCTGAACGCTGAACCCTAGACCCTGAATCCCAAACCTCGGCCATGGAAGAGCTAGCACTGGTTGAGCTTTTTGATAGGGGCCCCAAAACATAAGGGGGTATAAGGGCCCTTTTCAGGGGGGATCCGAACAAGCAAATTTGTTGCTAAACAGCCTTAAGTATGGGGGGAGCCTACCCAAGGCGAACATCCAAGTCCTCGCCTCCGAGCGCCGAACTTTCAAGTCGTTCTCCGGTTTCCAGTCGGAGGTTGCTCCTGGGGCTGATCTTAGGGTTTAGGGTTTAGGGTTTAGGGTTTAGGGTTTGGGGTTTGGGGTTTTTTTGGGGCTTAGGGCTTGGGGTTTGGGGTTTAGGGCTTAGGGTTTGGGGTTTAGGGTTTAGTGTTTGGGGTTTAGGTTTTAGGAACTGGGGGGTTTAGGTGTGTAAGGGTTCGGGTTTAGGGAGGGTTTTCGGGAAGGTTCTTTTTTGGGGATTTCCCAAAACAGGGTCCGTTTGCGTGTTCCCATAATCAGGATTATAATAGTTTGGGGCACGTTGCGGTACCCCCCTACTTTGGGAAAACCCCATTCTTGCCTCCCTGCCCAGGAATGCACCGAAGTTTGAGTTTACCCTAAACCCTAAATGCTAAACCCTTGTGCCTAAACCCTAAAGCCTAAACCCGAAACTCTAAACCCTAAACCCTAAACCCTAAACCCTGAACCCGAAACCCCAAACCCTAAACCCTAAACCCTAAACCCTAAACCTAAACCCTGAACCCTAAACCCTAAACTCTAACACACAGCAAGGAACTCCCGGCTGCGCATCGCTACGCCTCGGGGCCCTGTCAAGAGGCGGCGCTGAAGCTGCCGCGACAGCTCCAAGGACTTGGTTCTTGAGGGCTTTGGGGCTTTTGGGGTTTTTGGGGTTTAAGGGTTTAAGGCTTATAGGGGTTATAGGGGCTCCAAGGACTTCGTTTTGAGGTCTTTAGGGGTTTTTCGGGTTTTAAGGGTTTAAGGGTTTTAGGGTTTTAGGTGTTTTTTAGGGTTTTAGGGTTTTAGGGTTTTAGGGTTTTAGGGTTTTAGGGTTTTTGGGTTTAGGGTTTTAGGGGTTTTAGGGTTTTAGGGTTTCAGGGTTTTTTAGGGTTTTAGGGTTTTAGGGTTTTAGGGTGTTAGGGTGTTAGGGTGTTAGGGTGTTAGGGTGTTAGGGTTTACGTGAAGTTCTCGGGTTCATAGGTTTAGGCGTCGCAGGGGTTCGGGTTCGGGTTTGAGCCTCAGGGTTAGCGTTCTTTTGGGCAGCTTGGGCTGCATATGCACCCCCCCCATACTTGGAGGAGTTATCCCCTAAACCCTACACTCGAAACCCTAGACCCTAGACCCTAAACCCTAAACCCTAAACCCCAAACCCTAAACCCTAAACCCTAAATTTTTGTCCTGAGGGGCATTGAAGTCCCTAACCCTCCTGCATCTCCCCGGCTCCAAAGCCTGAACCTTACTTGGAGGTTCCTAGGAAGTTCTAAGTGGGGTTACAAGTAGGGTAGCTATGGCTGTCGCTTTACTTGGGGTACTTATAACCCTTTTTTTTTTATGGGTGTAGGGTTTAGGGTTTAGGGTTTAGGGTTTAGGGTTTAGGGTTTAGGGTTTCGGGTTTAGGGTTCCACGTATACCTCTACAGGACTCTTTTCCACATACAGGGACCTTTTCGACCGAGCTCTGGCCCGATCACTGTGGAACACCACCGCCGGCGCTGGCGGTGTGCACTTGGGACGTGGTGCTTTATGAGGTTTCTATACGGTTACGATAAGGTTACTATAAGGTTACTCTAAGGCTACTCTAAGGTTGCTATAAGGTTACTATGAGGTTACTATGAGGTTACTATAAGGTTACTATAAGGGTACTCTAAGGTTACTATAAGCTTACTATAAGGATACTATGATGTTACGAGTTCAGGGCCGTAGAATATGGGAAGCTTTTCGAATTCAGGCCGAAAGGGACCATTGTTTTTGAGAACTGGCCACCTCCAGTCAGTCAAGGGTGCCCTAAAGCTGAAATTTCAACCCTAAACCTTCAGAGGTCTTTTCATCTCTCTGATGTGCCCTTTACTAGTCTAAGGAGGTGCCTCACTTGGGATCCGATTGTTTTCTAGGTCTCTACTGTCGTATATCTTTCTTCTTAAGGTTTTGGGCCACCCCTCAACCAAACGCCCAGGTTCATGGGTTTAGGGCTTGGGTTTAGGGTTTAGAGTTGAGGGTTCAGGGTTGAAATGCCAAGGCACTTGGTGCAACAGGCGGCCATCAAGCTTCGCGAAGCTCCCGGCAGAGCGCTGGCTGCCTTTGGCAACAGAGGCACACGCTCTCTTTTAGGCACTTGATTGGGATATTCGGGTTTAGGGTTTGGCAGCATTAGGATTTAGGATCATGGGAGGTTAGTGTGGGATCCGTTTCCGCTGCATGAGCGCCTGCCGAGCCTCGCACCCCAGACCACTGTGAGGCTTCGACTGCAAGACGGCCGGCCGTGTTGTCAGAGACTTCGCGCAGTACTTCCGGCGATTTGCCGTGGACGCCTTCTTGCATCTCTCCACTGGGGCCGTCTGCAACACATCTTTCTCCGACGGGCGCTCGCGGCTGGTTTATCATGAGAGCAGGGAGCTGGATCTGAGGGGACACTACCGGGGTTACGTGCTGGAGCACCTGCTCAAGTCCCTGCTGCAGCCTGGGTGCGTTCTTACAAGATCTTTCTAGATTCTAGAGTGTCCATTAGTTTGTATTCCTTTTTATTGGTTTAAATTAGTGCAGTGCTACATCTTTTGCATCTTATTCCTTAAACCCTAAACCCTAAACCCTAGAACCTAAACCCTAAAATCTAAACCCTAAACCATATTACTTCTTCTTAGTGTTTTCATGTCCTTCTTGTTTTCATCCTTGAACCCAAGACTGAGCTTGGAGACCTGAGCATCACCGTGCGTTCCCAAACCCTAGACCCTAAACCCTAAACCCTAAACCCTAAACCCTAAACCCTAAACCCTAAACCCTAAACCCTAAACCCTAAACCCGTTCCCAAGGCAAGGCGACGCGACGCTGGCACGCGCGCCGTGCCTCCGCGCCGTGGAGATCGGGACCTTCTCGGCCATGACCTCTGAATACCTGCTAAGGCTGTAGGGGGCTCAGGACAACACGTAAGCATAAGGATCTTTACTATTGGGGTATAAGGGCCACCCAAAAAAGGGGGGGAGGGAGTCTGAAAAAAGCCCGGTTATTGTAGGATCTTTATGTTTATGTGGGATTTTTTTTGGGGCCCCCCTAAAGGATGGTGCCCTGCCTGCAGCTGTGGTGCATTGACCCCCTGCCGCAGCGAGTTGCTTGGAGCCGGCTGAGTAAGTTTCGACACCTGGCGCGCTTGGGTTTCGGCACGGTTTCTCCGAGTTTCAGCGAAGAAAAGGGCTTCTACTTGGCAACCGCACTCAGCTGTTGGCAACCAGAGTCCCTAAACCCTAAACTCTAAACCCCAAACCCTAAACCCTAAACCCTAAACCCTAAAATGTGTGCAAGTCTTAAGGCTTCGGTACTTCAGGCCTGGAGCGCTTGCGAGCTCAAGAGCCACCCCCTCCCCCGAATCATTTTTTGGGGTTTACGGTTTAGGGTTTAGGGTTCGATACTTTTGTAGTTTTTGCGGCGGAGGGGGGTACGTATTTCGAGAACGTGGTAGTTGTGAGAAAGTGTGGAGGCCCCCCCAGCCTCCCCCAAAGCCTGAACGTGCAACAGAACATGTCGTCACGGCCCAGAGAAATGCCAAAAGTGTGCTCAAGACTGAAAACCTCTGCAAAACGCCGCGGAAGTGCCTGCCGCCGACGCACGTGCCTACGTGGTGTAAGTGTTCTTGCAACAAACGACAAAAGCCCTAAACCCTAAGCCCTAAACCCTAAGCCCTAAACCCTAAACCCTAAACCCTAAACCCTAAACCCTAAACCCTAAACCCTAAACCCTGAACCCTAAACCCTAAACCCTAAATGAGGAAACCGCAGCACACTCTGGAAGATCGACTCCTCTGCGGGGTCCACCCGGGTGGAGGATGGCTCGATGGACCTGGTCTTTGTGGATGGCGACCACAGCTACGAAGGAGCTACTTGGCTTAGGGTTTAGGGTTTAGGGTTTAGGGTTTAGGGTTTAGGGTTTAGGGTTTAGGGTTTAGGGTTTAGGGTTTAGGGTTTAGGGTTTAGGGTTTAGGGTTTAGGGTTTAGGGTCGAAAGTCCTGGAGCCCTGATGATTTGTTTTAATTTTTACCTTGAGCCCCCCCCCCAACCCCCCCCAAGGCCTCCCCTGAGACCCACCACCACCACCACCGCCGCCGCCACCACCACCACCACCACTGGGATTGCTATTGGGTCCTTGTCCCTACCCTAAGCCCTTGCTACGAGCAGCATGATGGAGACCGAAGAAGGGCCTCAGAAATATCCGGAGCCCGAAGCTGAAGACCTTGAACCACCCTTAGCCCTGAAGAGGTCTTCTTGTGTGGGTTTAGGGTTTAGGGTTTAGGGTTTAGGGTTTAGGGGGGTCCGGTTTTTTTTTTTTGCAAAGGTGTGGCTCGGCCCTGTCCCCTTGCAAAGGTGTGGCTTGGCTTGGCTTGGCTGGGCGTGTCCTCTGACCTGGCTTGGCTCGGCTTGTCTGGCTTGGCTTGGCTTTGGTTGGCTTGGCTCGGCTTGGCTTGGCTTGGCTTGGCTTGGCTCGGCTTGGCTCGGCTGGGCTTGGCTTGGCTTGGCTCGGCTTGTCCTCTGGCTTGGCTTGGCTCGGCTTGGCTTTCGTTGGCTTGGCTCCTTGGCTTGGCTTGGCTCGGGTGGGCTCGGCTCGGCTTGGCTTGGCCTGGCTGGCTTGGCTTGGCTTGGCTCGGCGTGGCTTGGCTCGGCTTGGCCTGGCTTGGGTGCCGACTTCGTTTTGATTTCCCTGTTCTCCCCAGTCGCAAAGATTCTTTTTACCGCGATGTAGCTGTAGCTGGTAGAAATACGTGGAGTGTATATATGTAGTGTGCGCAAGCATTGAGTTTGCAAATGGCTGCGCCCCCCCCAACCCCCCCGCTTTTTTAAGCCGTGCAAGCTTGCGTCAAAGCATATGAGTCTTGTTGAAACCCATGATGCAAGCATTAAGTTTGCAAATGGCCCCCCCGGTGTTGGAACCCATGATGCAAGCATTGAGTTTGCAAATGGGGGGGGCTGCGCCCCCCCCAACCCCCCCGCTTTTTTTGAGCCGTGCAAGCTTGCGTCAAAGCATATGAGTCTTGTTGAAACCCATGATGCAAGCATTGAGTTTGCAAATGGGGGGGGCTGCGCCCCCCCCAACCCCCCGCTTTTTTTGAGCCGTGCAAGCTTGCGTCAAAGCATATGATTCTTGTTGAAACCCATGATGCAAGCATTGAGTTTGCAAATGGGGGGGGCTGCGCCCCCCCCAACCCCCCCGCTTTTTTTGAGCCGTGCAAGCTTGCGTCAAAGCATATGAGTCTTGTTGAAACCCATGATGCAAGCATTGAGTTTGCGAATGGGGGGGGCTGCGCCCCCCCCCAACCCCCTCGCTTTTTTAAGCCGTGCAAGCTTGCGTCAAAGCATATGAGTCTTGTTGAAACCCATGATGCAAGCATTAAGTTTGCAAATGGCCCCCCCGGTGTTGGAACCCATGATGCAAGCATTGAGTTTGCAAATGGGGGGGGCTGCGCCCCCCCCAACCCCCCCGCTTTTTTAAGCCGTGCAAGCTTGCGTCAAAGCATATGATTCTTGTTGAAACCCATGATGCAAGCATTGAGTTTGCAAATGGGGGGGGCTGCGCCCCCCCCAACCCCGCCGCTTTTTTAAGCCGTGCAAGCTTGCGTCAAAGCATATGAGTCTTGTTGAAACCCATGATGCAAGCATTAAGTTTGCAAATGGCCCCCCCGGTGTTGGAACCCATGATGCAAGCATTGAGTTTGCAAATGGGGGGGGCGCAGCCCCCCCCAACCCCCCCGCTTTTTTTGAGCCGTGCAAGCTTGCGTCAAAGCATATGATTCTTGTTGAAACCCATGATGCAAGCATTGAGTTTGCAAATGGAGGGGGCTGCGCCCCCCCCAACCCCCCCGCTTTTTTTGAGCCGTGCAAGCTTGCGTCAAAGCATATGATTCTTGTTGAAACCCATGATGCAAGCATTGAGTTTGCAAATGGGGGGGGCTGCGCCCCCCCCAACCCCCCCGCTTTTTTTGAGCCGTGCAAGCTTGCGTCAAAGCATATGAGTCTTGTTGAAACCCATGATGCAAGCATTGAGTTTGCAAATGGGGGGGGCTGCGCCCCCCCCAACCCCCCCGCTTTTTTAAGCCGTGCAAGCTTGCGTCAAAGCATATGAGTCTTGTTGAAACCCATGATGCAAGCATTAAGTTTGCAAATGGCCCCCCCGGTGTTGGAACCCATGATGCAAGCATTGAGTTTGCAAATGGGGGGGGCTGCGCCCCCCCCAACCCCCCCGCTTTTTTAAGCCGTGCAAGCTTGCATCAAAGCATAAGAGTCTTTTTGAAACCCATGATGCAAGCATTGAGTTTTCAAATGGGGGGGGCTGCGCCCCCCCCAACCCCCCGCTTCTGAAAGCCGTGCAAGCTTGTTTCAAAGCATATGAGTTTTTTTGAAACCTAGAGGCAAGCATTGAGTTTGCAAATAAGGGGGAGGGAGTCGGGGTGGTGAGAGTGGGGGGGGGGGGGAGTGGGGAGGGGGGTGGGGGGGGGGGGGGGGGGGGGGGGGGGGGTGGGGGGGGGGGGGGGGGGGTGGGGGGGGGGGGGGGGGGGGGGGGGTGGTGGGGGGGGGGTGGGGGGGGGGGGGGGGGGGGGGGGGGGGTGGGGGGGGGGGGGGGGGGGGGGACGTGGAGGGGAAGGGGGTTACCGAGCCACACCTTTGCAAGAGGACAGGGCCGAGCCACACCTTTGCAAAAAAAAAAACCCTCCGCCGGTTTAGGGTTTAGGGTTTAGGGTGTAGGGTATAGGGTTTAGGGTTTAGGGTTTAGGGTTTAGACAGTTATTTCTTCTTGGAACGTGAAAGGGATGCATGATCTCACTCCGACTCTCAGACAAGGGTTCGAGTCTCTGCAACCTGAAATCGTGGAACCAAAAAACCTCGCGTGCTCAGCCCCAACCCGGTGCCTGAATGTGCCTGACACACCCATAAACTCCTGAATCCACGGCTTTTTCCCAAGGCTGCCTCGGACATCTTTAACTGGGAGAAGAAGCTCCGTCCCGGAGGGATATTGGCAGGCTTTGAACCTTCAAAGCCCAAACCGAAAAGCTTGAAGGCTATGGTTTTGGAGGCAAGGTTAGACCTACCTTAGTGGTAACTACCCCTAATCCCCCCAAACCATCCCAAACCCTAAGCCGCATTAGCAGCAGGCCACGACTTCAACGGGATCTTCCCCGGAGTGGTTCGAGCCATCGAGGAGTTTGTGCAGCTGCGTCAGCTGACCCTTCACTTGGCTACGGACTACATGTGGTGGACCTTCAAGGGAGCCTGAAACTCCAGGATGGCCCATGATCTGCAAGTCTTACCTTAAGACCTCAGGGGCAGCTTCCGACAAGTGGGACCCCCTACCCTGTGGACTGGTGGACTGGGGACTCTATACCTCTTGCCATGCACGCCGTCTACGTCAGCAAGAGTCGCTGCAAGAACCACGACGTGGTGCTGCCGGGCGTGCTTCTCCTCTGCTGAGAGTGGAGCCAAGGAGAGTAGGGGGCCCTACTTGGAGGTTCATGGGTACTTGGAAGTATGGTTTTGTAAGTACCCAGCCGAGGTTTACGACTATAGCCACGGCCTACCCGAAGTCATAAACCCACTTTTGTTATCCTCTTACATGCGAAGCCCTAAATCCCCTAAACTTGCAGCTGCTTCTGCTACGGCTCCGTTGCAGCTTCCGTTACAGCATCGCTGAAGCCGCTGGCGCTTCCTTGCAGCCTTTTGATACGGCTCCGCTACAGCTCCGAGACAAATCCGTTACAGCTCCAGTTCTGTCATAGTAGAGGCCTGCAAATGATGGTAGAGCCCCGCCCCAACCCTAAACCCGAAGCCCTATGGCTATCCTACTTAGGCCTTAAACCCTAAACCCTCAGCCCCATGAGCCTCTAAGTAGAGCCCGGGTGTTCAAGTACGCAATTTCAGCTTGCGGTCCGAAAAGCAGGTCGAGGGTTGAGGGTTAAGGGTTAAGGGTTTAGGGCGCATGAAGATGTGGAGTGCAGGTCTGCGCAAGACCATGTCTTCTTTTCAGATGCGAAGATATGGCCAGATGGGGCAGTTTTACACATGGTGGTACCCTCGTTGGGTTCCGTCTTGGGAGGAAGAAGTCGGAGGGGCCTTTTTTTATTTCCCATTGAGCACTGGAGCACCCCCACCGCAAGAGCAGATATGTAATATGCTTTCCTTCTGATGGCAGCTGAAGCCTACATCATGCCCTTAACAGCAGGCCAAGAAGCGTCAATGCCAGGGCTACGTGCGTAGGTGCAACCCTGGGTTTAGGGTTTCGGAATCAGGCAGGGAATGCCGCAGAACAGGCTTTTGCGTTAAGAGAGGCACCTTGATTTGTGTATTTTTTTCTAGGGTCGCTTTGTGCTATAGGCGATTTCGACTTCGATGCTCAAGCTCATAGTTTCCCCCATGGACCGCCCCAAGCATAGAAAGCACCCGAAGCTCGCAACACCTGGCCATCCTACTCTACAGCCAGAGCGAAGCTTACAAATCCCGAGGAGTTTTCATGGACAATGGAGGCACCAAACTTTCAGCAACCAGGAGCCCCTGAATCCTTAAACCATGTGTGCTGCATGATGGGGCGGGCCGCTTTGCCCAGCCGCCACTGCTGGAGGCTGCTCGCTTGAATGCTCAACTGTTCTACCGGCTTTTCAGAAGAGTCCTTGAACCTTTATTTCCCGAAAGCATGGCGGAGGGTTTTCAGCCGAGGTGGTTTTCGATTAGACTATATGTCGTCGTTATATATGGATGGCAGGATGGATGGCGTGATGGATGATGCCTGGATGGATGGCGTGATGGATTTCGTGGGTTTTCGTCTTGAAATTCACAATGTTTTATCATGTTTTAAAGCACGGGGTAGGGTTGGCGGGAGCCGCCGCACCTGGTTAAACATGGTGCGTGCACGCCAGCCTCTGTTGGAGTTACGTAGTTGAATTTCGAACGCACATGCCACGCTCGAAGGTTCAACAGCTCATGTCGCTCGTTTCTGTCAAGTCGGATCGGGTGCAAGACCTTTCCTTCCACGTCTGTGAAATTAGGTTTCGAAGCCGGTGTCATGTGTGGCCTTTTGTGACGTGTTGGGGGCTCATTTCAGTGGGGCCCATGCGCATTTGTGTGTGTGTGTGTGTCTTTTCTAGAAGGTTCCATCTAAGCTGGGCTATGAAACAGTTATAACCCTACTTTCACCCAACTTTTTGGTGGGTACCTATGAACCTTGAGACGATTGCCCTAAACCCTAAACCCCAAACCCCAAACCCTAAACCCTAAACTCCCTAAACTCCCTAAACTCCCTAAACTCCCTAAAACTCCCTAAACCCTAAAGCCTAAACCCTAAACCCTAAAGCCAGGCTTCATGGAAGTGTCCAAGTCCATTGAGAGCCAGGCGGGCCTCGGTGCTGCCTGTTGCACTTTAACACCTGTATTGGGGGTTTAGGAAACCTAGGGTTGCCCCTTTTGGGAGGTCCCTTTAAGGGGATTCTATTCAATGTCGGGTATAAAAGGGGTTTAGGGTTTAGGGTTTAGGGTTTAGGGTTTAGGGGTCCCTTTAAGGGGATTCTATTCAAGGTGGAGTATCAAAAGGGGTTCCCTCTATTTTTGGAAATGCCTGTAGATGATCCCTCAACCTTGTACTCGCCCCCACGTTGATTGTTGATGAGGGGGTGTTTGCGGTCCTTTGAACCAGGTTGTATTAGATATTGGGGCTTGAACTGTTTAGGGTTTATCTTCCGGCGTTTTTTTCTTAAGGGTTTCGGAGTTTAGGGATACCACCGCCTTGGGGGGCACGTTCCATGCTGAGTTGATCCGCTTCAGCATCAAAGGGGGGGCGTTAGATCTGCTGGTAGAGCTAAGACGTATCCTAGTGTTCGTATCGGGTGACAGCATGCAGCTGTCATTCAACTTCGCACATGGTGGGACAGTTGGCCCCTTGGACTTTGAGCCAGATGCGCTCATCGATGATGTGGCCTTTCGCCTGAAGTGCTCCTTGAAGCCATCCGAGCAGGTGTATGCTCGGTTTGTCTGGGAGGGGTCATGCTTGCCATCGCACCGAAAGTTGTCAGCGACCTCATTGAGGGATGGGGACGTGCTTCAGACACTCTGGGCTTCAGCCGTGCCGCTGGATGAACTGGGCAATGACAGACAGGAAACCCTCCCAAGACGCCATTGGAGCCTGCCAACGTTTGCTGGCAGTTCGGAAGCTGGCATGCCTGGCACGCTTGACGTCTCCGCGATGCACAAGCTCGAAGATCATCTGCCGGAGCTGGCAAGGTGCATCACCCCCGCACTGCAGGTCTTGGACATTCGCCAGTGCGGCTTGCGAGCCGGGTGCCTCCGCAACCTCTTTGCAAAGCTGCCTTCATCTTTGAAAGAGCTTCGCGCGAGCCGAAACTTCATTACTCCAGAAGCTGTGGACACCCTCTGCGATCGTGCCTTTACCGGCCTCCGAGTTTTGGACGTCGGATACTCGCACTGCACAGACTGCTCTGGCTTGGACCGCCTCAGTGGGATGATTGGGGGCACCTTGGAGGAGCTGGTGGTGGGTGATCTTGAGGCAGGGTTTAGGGTTTCGGGGTTTGGGGTTTAGGGGTTTAGGGGTTTAGGGGTTTAGGGGTTTAGGGGTTTAGGGGTTTAGGGTTTAGGGTTTAGGGTTTCGGGTTTAGGGTTTAGGGTTTAGGGTTCCAGAGGCAGTGGCGCGACCACCTACCCTGCTGGCAGGGGTACTCTCCAGATGCCCCCAACTGAAGGCGATTGATTTCGCCGACAACAACTCTGAAGGCTTTTTGAGTGAGACCTTCAGGAGTCTGGCACAGCACTGCTCACTGCTGGAGGCCATGCATGGCTACCGCACTGAGCCTGAATCCTCAGTTCTTCACGGCTTTCTCTCTCAGTGCCGCAATCTCGGCCGACTGGAAGTTTCGGGAATCTCCACACCCGAAAGCATCAATAAGATGGCCGAGCTACCTTTCTTGAGGTCTCTCCGGTTGGAGTTGTTCTCAAATCACCAAGACATGATTGACGCAATCTGCAATCTCAAGGTGGAGACCTTGTTTCTGGAGTTCACTTCTCGTGAAGAGGAGGACGACGACGATGAGGACGACGATGAGGACTCTGTTGAACTGTGTCTGGACCTTTGCACCAACCCCCAAGACCTGGCGGAGTCTTTTGGCAAGTCCAGTGCAACATGCCTCTCGCTTCTGGCGGGTGGAGTGGATCCGGTGGTGCTTCAAGCGGTAGGTTCCCGCTTGTATGAGCTTGGGCCTGGCAGGTCCGGAGGTGAGGAATACCCAGCTCCCGGCATTTTGGGCACCCTCCTGCAGGTCCCAAGCTCTTGCGTAAACCTTGTGCAGCTGCAAGTCAACTTTTGGGAGCAGATTGATGCAGCCGCCTTAGCCACGGTGGCCGAGATGTGTCCTTCTTTGAAGCAGCTGCGGCTGAATGCCGACGATTATGATTTTCAGAAGGCGCCGATCGACGAAGGGGTCCTTGCTCTGGGCCGCCACTGCAGCAGACTGGAGCACTTGGAGTCCTGGTGTCGGATTAGCTGCTTGAGGGCTTTTTTCCCCAAGAGGTTTCAATAAGACCCACTTCCGGCCCTGAAGTCGTAGTTCTTGCTTTTGGGCCTTGAACCCTAAACCCTAAACCCTAAACCCTAAACCCCAAAAAACAGCAGACCCAGGACCTCTATGACCGGTGGCTCCGCGACCCAGCTGCGACCCTGTCCACGGCCATCACCGGGTGGCCCCAGCTCCGTTACTTCTGTGCCGGGGGAACCAGCCGGCAGCCGTGGCAGGTGACTCCCCCAAAAAGGGGCTTAGGGTTTAGGGTTCAGGGTTAGGGTTTAGAGTTTAGGGTTTCGGGTTTAGGGTTTAGGGTTTAGGGGTTTCCGAAATTTGGGGTACCTTATTGGGGTCCTTATTAAAAGGGAATCCTACTGTTTGGGGGGTTAGGCTGTGCTACCATGGTGAGGACGCGAGGAAACCGCAGACTCTAGTTCGTTGTGCAAAATTCATAGTATATTGTACTATGCAGTAGACGATGCGTTCAAGCCTCCTGGTGCAGTTGGGCAGGGGGAGGGGGGTGGTAATTACGACACTACTACTCCTTCAGTCCCAACCCGAAGCCCAAAAATTCCCAAGCCTGAAGAGACCTCAAGATCCCAAACCGACACCCGAAGAGCAGTTCAAGGTCCCAAACCCCTGAACCCTACAACGCCAGGCCGTTTTAGACCACCACCCAAACGAGCAGCGCCCTACAACCCAAACCCGAAGAGAGCCGAGGGAACCTTGAATCCTGGAAGCTGTGAGCCCTCCACCCCAAGCCGCCAAACGTCCATGAACGGAACACGAACTGTTTGCGCAAGCAAGAGCCGGGGAGATACCATCTGCGTTCATGTTTTTGTGACCCGCCTCCGACGCGAAACGCAAAACACGCCTGGCAGTGAGTCGCGCGTGTTGTTAAGAGCCCTAACTACGCCCGCCACCACAAAAATGCAGGCACGGCAATAGCGGTGCAGGGTTATGTATAGATAGATAGATATACATATATATATACATACATGTATACATATATATATATATATATATACGTCTCACCTACCATAGGATGCTCTGGCGTAAGCTAGGGAAACACACACGCTGTTCTGATGTTTTGTGCCTTGCAGCCTCAGCGCCCCTGCGCTCCGTGGCTGAGGTGGCAGATCCCGATGTCAGGATCGCCCGCGCACTGGCGGCTTCTTGCCCACTCCTGCAGCAAGCCATCTTCTACGGCGAGGGCCTCCACAAGTGGTACCGGCTCCTCGAAGCATCGTGCCCCATCTATGGCGAGCCGTGCTTGGATTCAGATGATGAGTGAATGAGAAGCGGGGGCATCATGCCCTTGATGTTGAACCTGTGACTCTGAGCTGCCGCTGTGAAAGTGCCTACTGGAACTCATGTTTGCCGCAGTCCTGCCGGTTAAAGAGGGACCCTAGTTGTCGGAATCACAGGGCATAGTTCCTTCTGGTGGGATGTCGAGTGTGCCAGAGTTCCTAGACCCTAAATCCGAGAAACAATCGCCCACTGTAAGCCGTAAAGCCTTAAACAGAAGCCTCTACAATACCTTCTCGAAAGCCCCCCTAGCTCCGAAAACCCCTGGCTAACCCTAAACCCTGTGTTTGCCCTATGTCAACAAGTCCATGGTAGCCCTAGTTCTTAGTAGTGAATGCGGGATTTAATGGGATCTATAGGTACCCTACATAGTCCCTTAAAGGGCATATATAGGGGGACGTACGTACCTCATTCCCTCATTCCCTACTAAGGACGAACGTTAGCCGTATGTTAGCCCTGCGCATCTCGACATTGGTGGGATCTTTCGCTTGTGACAGATATGGTTTCGTCGTGCTGTGCTTCCGCCGTTTCATCTGTTTTCGTTTAGGATTCAGGGTTCAGGGTTTAGGGTAAGGGCTTGGGGCTTCGGTGTAAGGGTTCAGGGTTCGGGAAAAGCTGGCTGCTCTTTCTAGTACCGGTGCTTGCTGGTGTTTCTGTCGTTGCTACTCTTCTGGTGAAAATTGCCCTAAACAACCCCCAAACCTTGGGAGGCGCGGCGGGTGGTCGAATACCACCAAGCGCACATCTCGGCTGCTTGGAAAGGTTGGGGGAGGGCACGACCGCGCGAGGTTCTGGGTACTGGTAAAAAGGCGGGATTATGCATGTAAAAGGCTATTGCAGTGTGCTGCCTTCATTTTAGCCCTAAACCCTGAACCCTAAACCCCAAACCCTGCACCCTACACCCTAAACCCTGCACCCTCAGCCATGCACCCTAAACCCTGCACCCTAAACCCTAAACCCTAAACCCTAAACCCTAAGCCCTAAGCCCTAAACCCTAAACCCTAAACCCTACACCTTCAAGCCCAGGATCATCTTCTCAGAAGTTGCGCGGGTGCAGGCGGGGCTCAAAATCTTGGAGGTGGGTTGATTGGCTCCCGGCTTCGATCCTGCCACCTCTCCAGGTCTTCCCAAGTGCCGTGTTTAGGGTTTAGGGTTTAGGGTTTGGGGTTTGGGGTTTAGGTTTTAGGGTTTAGGGTTTAGGATTCCGTTTAGGATTTAGGGTTAGGGTTTAGAATTCCCTTTAGGGTTTAGGGTTTTGGGTTTGAGGGTTTGAGGGTTGAGGGTTCACGGTTTAGGGTGCAGGCTTGAAGATTCCGCGCATCGCATAAGAGTGCACTCTGAATGCCTCAAGATGCCTTCAACATCTATCTAAGCTCCTGTAGGAGCGCTAAACCTTAAACGCTAAACGCTAAACCCTAGACCCTAAACCCTAAATCCTAAATCCTAAATCCTAAACCCTAAACCCTAAACCCTAAGCACGCGAAGGTAGCGAGAAGCCATTTCGGCACACGCTCTCCACCGGTGCCTCGACTTTAGCAGTGGCTTCGGGTTTAGGGTTTGGGGTTTTGAGGTTTTGTTTTGGGGAGGGTCTACAGACCCCTCAACGCCCCATCAGCAACCCTATACGCCAAACCCTAAACCTGAAACCCTTCAAGACCCTAATTGCACCCCCAAAAGCCCCGAAATAAACACCTACCCCTACATCACCCTTCAAATGCCCTATAGACAACCCTCAACCCTCAACCCTCAACCCTCAACCCTCAACCCTCAACCCTAAACCCTAAACCCCAAACCCTAAACCCCAAACCCTAAACCCTAAACCCTAAACCCCAAACCATAAACCCCAAACCCTAAACCCCAAACCCTAAACCCAACAGCCTCCATTTGGCCCAGGTCTCGACCGCCCACGGCGCAGCCGCGCCGGCTCGGAGCGACCCGGGGGCGCGCACCGGGCCTTCTGGCCTGAGAGGGGGTTTAGGGGGTTTAGGGTTTGGGGTTTAGGGTTTAGGGTTTGGGGTTTGGGGTTTCGGGTTTGGGGGTTTGGGTTTGGGGTTTGGGTTTAGGGTTTAGGGTTTGGGGTTTAGGGTTTGGGGGTTTGGGGTTTGGTGTTTAGGGTTTGGGGTTTTGGGTTTGGGGGTTTGGGGGTTTGGAGTTTAGAGTTTGAGTTTGGGTTTAGCGTTTAGGGTTTGGGGTTTGGGGTTTCGGGTTTAGGGTTTAGTGTTTGGGGTTTAGGGTTTAGGGTTTTGGGTTTGGGGGTTTGGGGTTTGGGGTTTGGGGGTTTAGGGTTTGGGGGTTTAGGGTTTGGGGGTTTGGGGTTCAGTGTTTGGGGTTTAGGGTTTGGGGTTGGGGTTTGGGGTTTAGGGTTTGGGGTTTGGGTGTTTGGGGTTGAGGGTTTTCGGGGGTTGGGGTCTGGGGGTTTAGGGTTCAGGGTTTAGGGTTTGGGGTTTGGGGTTTAGGGTGCAGGGGCACCTATAAGCAGGCTAAAGCCGGCATGCAGATGTAGAGCATGTTGAAACTGAAGTTATCTTACTTGACCTTGCTTGTATATGCCCCTGCAGGGTTGTTTTAGGACCTACTTGACCCCTAAACCCTAAACTCTAAGTCCCCAAACCCTAAGCCCTAAGCCCTAAGACCTAAACCCTAAACCCCTACTTTACTTATAAGGACTTCGAAACTTCTCCGTAAATGTTTGGAGTCGACATCCGGGTGTTCTTGTTAAGACCCTTCAAGATGCTTTCCTAGAATGAATTAGTATCTGTGTGACCAGAAAAAAGTTGTATAAAAAAGCTATATTGTAAGGAATATAGTGCGCTTATTATGGCAACCTTAAACCCTAAATGGGACCCGGCTGCACTGGGTTTGTACGGGCACGGGTTAACTTACCACAGATGTTGCACGCCCGCAGCGTCCGGCCATGTTCTTGCCATCGACTTTTGAGCTCTGACTCCCCAAACCCTAAACCCTCAGCCCCAAACCGTGATCAAGCCCAAGCCCAAAAGCGTGCATTTGGTTTCGGGTGGCCTGCCCACAATCCTAAGACCTTGTGTTGAGAGTGTAGGGTTTTGGGGGGCTGAGCATTTGGGGGTTGCAGTCGGGCAGTTTTTGTGCGGGGCTGAGGGTTTGGGTTTAGGACAAGTATTCGGGTCGCGGGGTCTTGGGGTTGCAGCGCCCTAAACCCTAAGCCCCAAGCCCTAAGCCCTAAACCCTAAACCCTAAACCCTAAACCCGAAACCCTAAACCCTAAACCCTAAACCCCAAACCCCAACCCCAAACCCACTAAACCCTGAACCCCAAACCCCAGACCCCAAACCCCAAACCCCAAACCCTAACCCTAGACTCTAAACCCTAAACCCTAAACCCTTATCCTTA